AGAATTGCCACAATGATGTATTAATATATCCCGCGACTGCATTGCACTGGAGTTATAGAACGAACGCATGGTTTTACAAGCTACTGGGCTCAAGTATCTATCGGATATAAAATCTAGCAAATACACGCGATAAGTTCGCTCGCTGCCTTTCAACGCTCTGCATTGCTCTTTTTTGTTGTTAGATCATCTACCTCTTCGAATCAAGCCCCTCGATGTCTGTGATAATTTGGTCATTGCCACATTGTTAAATACCTTGTATGAATTCAAATATATCAGCTCGCTGGAAGTCCAATTCTTTTTCTTCTTCATGAGAGACTCGGCAATGGATCATCTGCCGCTATCCTGCAAAAACCTCTGGTTGCCGTTGCAGTGGCCTTTTAATTCCTCAAGTGAATGAGCCCAACAATTCCAGCTAACGCACAAGTTGAGGGAAAGCGGAATCACATAATCCATCTACGTCACCTTATCGAGCAACAAGGCAATGTCTAGATGATCAATATCTTTGGACATAAGCAGTCCTTCCATTGTGAAATAAATCCCCTGTTAGACGTTCGCCTTCTTCCTAGTCTCACATTCAGGGGGGAAATTCGCTTATTTTATTTACTTGCTCCAAATTTTTCTTCAATATCACCTCACTTCACTCCAGTATCACAAGCAACCCATTAAGCGAGATACACACTCGCTTCACTAAATAGAGGTAGTTTCTTGCGCGAGCATCTAACCTCTAGTTCTCCGGTTGATGATACTGGTGACACTCTACCTCATCACACCGTCACATTACCTCAACAGGACAACCCCAGCCAGTTCAAATCGTAACGCACTACCGGCGTCAGTTCAGATGTAAATTCCCACATGTATATAAGATACCCTTCTAAATCCTAGTTTTGATTTCTTTCCTCAATACACAAAACTCAATATACTCTGATCCCTCAATCAACCTTCACTCATCATTAACTCGCACTCAATACTCAACACAACTCAATCTCAACCAAGCAACCGTTCTACCATAGAGCCGTCCCCTCATATCATACATTTCAAATTCCTTGCCTCCAACCGCCAACATGCCTGATCCAAAGGCATACAAGCATGAGGCGATCCTCCGCTCAACAACGGAGTGGGCGGACATGGGCATTTACGAAAGGGCACAACTGAAGGCTGCAAGAATATGGAGGGCGCAATAAGACTATAGTACCCCTGCCCCATCGGCTCCCAGCGTCCCGGAGCCAACAGTCAATTACCAACCTATGTCCATGTATGAGAGAGGCAGTGCCAGACAGCGAGCTCGGCTAGGGGTTCCTATCATTCACGGTCCCATACCCACGACGTGCAGAAAATATGGCTATGAGAGCCCTGTCGAAAATATCCAGCCTGAGACAATTACAGAAATTACAGACAGCGAATCTGGCAATAGCCCTGAGAGCATTCTGTCAGAACCCACGTCCGAAACTACCAGTAGTACGGTATCAGAGTCGCCAGAACCGCCATCGCCATTGAGCGACCAGTCCGTAGGTGGGGTCGTCGAATTCAAATACTGACTTATCCACACCATCTGGTGGTGAAGCAGCAAATTCGCCAGAGGCTTTAGAGACATTCGGGGACCAGAATGTGCTTAGCTCACAGAATTCACCTGACGCCCAACAAGTAGTTCCTCCCACCAAAGCGAATTCAGCGGTTAAACGCAAGAGGACCATGTCGGAATCCTGTTTAACATCCAACAAGCGTCCTGCACATATCCAACTTCAGTCTAATGACATGGTGGCTGGCAATTATAAATTGCAGCAGGTGCTTCTTAATATTCCTCAACAAACTGGGGACAAGAATGGTCCTATAGTCTTGGACGAGATTGAAGTACCACCGCAATCTGGGGGCATGAATTGTACTATAATCCTGGACGAGGTCGAAGTACCACAAACCCTCCTATCAAATGTCTCCCAGGATCCAAAGTCAGCCCCTAGCACAGCCTCGAGTGTCATTTACCAAGCAACTAACCAAAATCCGGGTGCTAATCCGCCGAAGAAGAGAGTCCGAGTCATTGAGAGGAGATTACCGATCGCACTGTCTGAACTAGCTATGGGATTCACGAGCAAAAGCAACCCACTTCAAGCCTTCAACAGAGCACGACGTATACCCGGAACAGATATTCAGCCCGTTCTCCAAGCCGTAGAATACACAAGTACAGATTCTGATTCCTGTTCTGATGATCTACCGTTCACGTCTGGATCCAAGCGAGAGATATCATGAACCCGATTCAAGAATCCGTTTCGAAAATCTTGGGCAATCAACAAACTATTCAAGATCCCATTGACTCCACGAGTCGATTATTCAACATTCCAGAACTCCAGTGGCTGGCAAAGAAAGCCAATGAGGGGCTTGTCAGAGGCAAGAGACATGGAATTCCAATCGATGACTTATCCTACGAATTCCGACAGCGGTATTGCTGGAGCTTTGAGCCTAAACTCGGGTTGAGAATTAATAACATCCTGTGCAAGTTACAAAAGACCCCGGACTACTTTCAAAGCTCGCAGGCACCAGAGAAGTCGCCATTCTTCGAAGGAACTCGCTGGCAGACTGTCTACCTCCAAATATATCTTGAAAATGGCCAGACCATCGGTCATAAATATAGCTTGGACACTACTGGAAAATGGAAGTATTCAGTAAAGGACTGATTCATACTGAAAAAAAAAAGTTCAGCAAAGCTTTAATTCGGGGAGGCGAAAAGATCGCTCCTTGGGCCAGCTGACAGACACGACTAATATGAACGACAACTTTGTTTTTGTGTATGCATGTTTCTTAATAACATGATTCTTGAGCTGATTATCTTCAAAGACGTCAATCTCTTTCCTTTTTTGAAAGTTTTTGTCTTGTGTCTAGTGTCTGTTGTCACCGAGGACCGAGCTATCCCAGCCCCTAGTCAGCCTTGGGTTTGGATGGAGTCTCGCACACATGTACTAGATAAAACAAATCTTTCAACCTAATATTCGATTCACAAGTGATGCTAGTGATTCGAATGAATATACCTCATCTCCAGACCTTACAAACCTCCTCCAAACAATCTCCATAAATTATTCCGATTCTTCGCCAACGAGACCTTCCCATCACAAACCTCCAAAGACGGGACACGCCTACACTCTCACCCACCCATCATGCCGCTCTTAGGATCTTGATTCTGCCGATGTAACACCTGCACAGGCAGGAACAGACGGATGGCCGCCGCTCAGCTCTCCAGGCACCACCCCCACCTCCATATCCACCAACAACGCATCCAGATGCCACAGATTCAGCGCCAGCCTACGAGAACCCACCTGCGTATGTCGAAATGTCTTGTTCATATGTTTCTTCGACTACTTGAACCATTGTGGGAAAATGATCAATGATGAGGATGGAGCATATGGAGGATATACAAGGGTGGCAGCTTCAGTGCTGGGTCAGCGACTTGGGAATCCAGGGTGTTAATAAATGCCATAGAAGAAATTCAACATGGCTTATCCTCTTGTTGTAAGAGTCTGGTTTTGTTGCTTTTACTTTCTCTGCCTGCCGCGCTTGCTGTCGATTATCCAGTGATACCCGGGTCCTGACTGCGATACATTCTGGCTACGATGTTCTGCTCCATGACTCCTCTTCATTAAATGTATGTTCTCTTATAACTCAATTTTACAGATGGACGGATGGCTCAACATCAGGTTTGCAACCACTTGCCTTGACTAGCCCGTGACTTGCGGACCTTAACATACTGACACTTAAAGCCACTAAGACACTCAAGCACTACATATTTGGGCTCATTCAATCCACTATCTATCAAGCTGAATAGCTACAGAGCATTTGCAGCTGAGGCACCCAGTATTGTGAAGTGAAGACATGGATGGAAAAGGGAGTTTGAAGGTTATAAGTATTGTTGTAGCAACTCAGATGCGAAAGTCAAGAAATCCAACTTTGTGTATCATCACATCCTTCAGTCATATGATGTTCTCTCTTGCTTCACACGAGAAGTAGTCTCTGAAGAGAATCAGTCGTTCAGACGAAGTGTAGGTGGGGACTTAGCCTGCAACCCCCCCACCCCTTCTGTCCCACACACACTCCGCCCAGTAGATTCAAAATCTCTGATGCTTTGATCTAGCCAAATAAGAACTGTTTGTCAAGTCAGCAGCAAGTCAGCAGCCAAGCGTTTGTGGTTTAGTGGTAAAATCCATCGTTGCCAACTTCCTCTCTTTCTGAGCGATCAGTAAAAGAATCAGGAGTCAGAATCGATGGGCCCCGGGTTCGATTCCCGGCGAACGCAACAGAAAATATATTTTTGCATAAATTAGAATAAATAATACTTGGTATTCGTGTTGTGCTTTAGATTTTTTGAAGTGCCTTCTGTGTTCGTGTTGAGGGAACGACGACGAAATGGATAGGATGGATGATACTTGAGACAAACGTGAGCCCAGGTACTTTGTTCACTTCTTGAAACTCGGTGTCAAATCCAGTATTTCTTTCTTACTCGTTGTTTACTTCTTGTAATTCCCTCCTTTTGTTTTTGACCTCAAACTTAAGAGAAGGAAGGTATCGGCCCTAAGGAAGCAATGGCTTATACCGTAAGTTCAAGTTCTTTCAAATCAAGACTATTTATTAAACACCGAGTTAAATTTAGTTACAGTTTTACGTTCGTGGCTTCCTAATAAGCTTGACTTGATTCTAAGCGTAAGTAGAAAATTCTTCGGAAAGAGATTTTCAAAGTGGGTCCCCGCAAACGGGGGCACAAAAAGGACTCCTTGGAGGTCAAAATGTACGGACTGTTTAAGCTCGGGTAGGATCGGTTAAAGTTAGAAGACATCTGTTTTGGATCAACTTTGATTTAATATAAAAGAGTTTTGATGTTGATTTGACTTACTATTCTTAATTACCAAAGTGAGTTGATATTGCAAAAAAGTGCACTGTCCGGCCGATTGATATTCTTTCTCTAGCGAGGCAAAAGGTAAAGAACTCCAAGTTATTACTTGGGGACATGAACTCAAGAGAATCTCTCTGACGGGGAGTCGAACCCCGATCTCCCGCGACTTGTCGAGAACCACACATGAAGTGTAGATCTGGTGACAAGCGGAAATCATGACCGTTAGACCATCAAAGATTGAGCTTGAAAGCTGCTGATTGGAGGGTGATGTCTTATTTGGTTACATTAAATAGTTAAACTTTTCATGTGACAAGCTTTTCTGTCTGACTAAAGTGTTGCTGTGTGGCGAATTACCTGGGCATGTTCCACAAAAGGCGGTGTGGAAAAGTGGAGCTGGTAGAACATCTGTTTCTCTCTCTAGTAGTCTTATTCAATAGTGTGGTATACGTATTCTCAGAGATGCTAATCTTTATCTGAAGCTTCATAAAATGAGAATGATGTTAAGAGTTTAGTCCTTGCAAATTGTCGTGTGGTAGGGATGCGGTGCCTATCGGTTCACGGGGTATTAAGCGAGAAAGTAAACAAACCCCCAATCTGCCATAAATAGTTTCATCCCGAGAGGAATCGTTATGGAAAGGGCCTGGTAATAATTCAATAATTTTTAGAGCTTAGACTTGATGTCTTAATTTCCAATGTTTTACCAGCTTTCTGTTAGAAAAAATTTGTAATCGACATACCGAGTAATGCCAAGGTGTCAACAAATTCATTCCCACACAAAAATGAAGCCTCGACAAATACAGATCAGAATGAAACAGTGTCATTACAGGTTCCTCCTAAAAAAACCATCGTTTAATAATCACATCAATACCTACTGCAGTGAATTCTCAAGTCCCAGAAGAAATCAAAAATTTCATCCTTGGACACCTTCACAAAGCGCTTCCAGCTTCGTGAAAAGTGAATACCCGTGCGGCATATCCGTGAATCACTTTCTCGGGCTGAAATAATGTTTCATTTTACACTTCAAACCTAACTCCCGGCATGCAACGATAACAAAGGGACAGACCTTTGGGTATTCGCATCCCAAACTCGAAGCTTCCAGCACCGTCAGCACTCCCAACCCTCTCCTCGCGATATGTACTCAAAGCACACAAGTCCAAGGCTCAATACTACCAACAAGTCGATTACTCACACTCGCCAGCTTCTACGTCTCCTACCCTCAAAATCGACTCAAACACATCACTACGCCTAGGCTATTACACTCATTCCCACTCCATCAACATCCACCTGGCATACCATCGACCCACGCGCCAATACCATCCATCTCCTCCTCCTCCCTCAACCCAAAGAGCAAAATGTGCAACCACATAATCCTCACCTTCACATTCTGCACCTGCCAAGAAATCGCAGTTGCGAAGCAATGCACGCGCGCCAAGCAGAGTGGAATGAACTGCTTCTATCGGGGATCTGAGTGTGAGGAATACATGGTGGAAGAGCGAGGGAGAAGAAGACGGGCAAGTGCAAGCGCAAGTGCAAGTAGACGAGGACGAGGATCTGGAAATGGAAACGGAATTAGAATTTGGGGAGGAAGTGGAGGAAAGGTGTATAGGTTGGTGCAAGGGGAATGCGAGTGGTGCCGTGGGGAGTATTGGGCTTATCCGGAATGAGCCCGAGTATGAGATAGACAGAAGGAAGGGGGGTGGAGGGCTTTCGAAGGGTTTTGTGATGTACTTGACCTTGGGTGTCTGCGGGTGAGGGGTAGTCTCTTGGGCATATGGAGATCTTGGAACCTGAGACGTTAGGGGTGTGGTATTGAGACGAGGGGATAGAAGCAGACGAAACAGACCAACGAGGACTACTTAGCTTAGTCGCAATCAATGGACAATAGATTGGAGGGGCCCTTGTATTCAAAAAGCGGTCGGGTTCACGAGACCAAGGCTAGTTCAGAGCCTTCGGCCTGTTGTCTAAACCATTTTGCAATCTCGAACTCCAGTGATGCAAGTAGTGGTCGAGAGAACCGTAGATACCATATCTACCCCTCCATGCAATGAAGGTCATAGCACATCTCAAGCATCAAAGCAACATTAAACTTTCCTACTCATCAAGCAAGTCATCCGATCTCGTCAAAAATTCCATCCGATCGATCTCTTCCCCTCCACCACCCATTAGCACCAGAATTCCCCAATCACTCTTCCTCGATACCAACCTTCTCACCCCTCCCATCTTATCAAACTTTTCCCATGGCGTGTTCCACAGAACTGTAGTTGTTTTAAAGATGGAGTAGTCCCGTACCACCAAGGCACAGGCGGGTGGTTCATCCGAACTATTCTCCGAAGTCACCAATCACCACACCAAGTAGCGAGGGCGGCCCCTGAATCTTGCCTCGCTAGACTTGCGCTTTGAGATAGGACGAACGACATAAACAAAATGAGGCGTAAAGCTTCTGTAGAACGGTACATAGGCTTCATAGCTCTACGCGGCATAACATAACACAAAGTCGTGCAGTTTACTTACTTGGTAAGGCAGGAATTCAAGACCCGACTCGTGCAAGGTGGTAGGGAACGAGAATTGTCTAGCCCACAGCCGGCAACAGAGGGGGCGCCGTTTAGGATCGACACTGTCACAAACGTCGTACAATCTTGGTAAGTATATAATGATAGTCGAGAGCCGCGCTCTCTCGGGGTGTTCCTTCCCTCTCCAACCCCAATTCCCAAGGTGCTGTATGTATTTCCCTGTCTAAATCTTGTACATGCTAGAAGTTAACAAACTTGTTCTCAGAACATGTACTACAAGAGATTCGCCTGCGATTATCAGGAAGGCGGTCAATGGTGTCCTCGACCATCAGGCGCCCGACCATTCCCACCTGGTCTCCGCATGGTAGCAGGGAATCCATTCAGAAGGTACCAAACATCTTTCCAAGCTCTACCCAAACGCCATCCTTACCCAATACCAGGACACAAACCCATTCAGAACAATCCAACCAAGCCATTCTCTACGAAACAGGCGGCGTAGGAGAAATGTACGGTTTTCCTAAAGTACTACAAGGCCGCTTACAGCTGAACGTCCGTTTCCCATCATGCTGGGACGGAAAGAACCTCGATAGTCCAGACCATAGAAGTCACGTAAGGATAGCCACCGCACAGTCTTTTCATAAATACAAGCTGACAGTTCCATTCCAGATGTCCTACCCAGACCCCACAAAAGGCGACACCCAAGGCGGAATGTGTCCCTCCACCCACCCCATCGCCCTCCTGCACATCGGCGGCGAATTCGGTTTTAACACCGACGCACTTAACATCACCGACTCCTCAACACTCGTCTTCTCCATGGGCGATACGACGGGGTATGGAGGCCATGCCGATTTCATTCAAGGCTGGGAAGACCTGAGCGCTCTAGGCTCGTCCTTCGACAACTGCAACGGGTTCGGCGATGCGTGTGCATGGAATTCATTCGGGACACCAGATGGGAAAGCGGGGGTGAAGAGTGATATGGATCCTGAGATCTCGGCTGTTTACGAGGAGGAGATCGGGTTGAATGGACCGATTGCGAAATTGCCTGGGGATAATACTGTGTGGGATGGTGTTGTTTCTGCTCTGTCGACTGCACGCACGGTCTTACCTTCGCCCTCACCTAGTACGCTAATGACTTTGACGTTGACTACTTCTCCTGTTATAGCGACCGTATTGCCGACTACACTCCTCCCGAGTACGCTGTTGACGCTTCCTACATCGTCACCCACCTCCTCCATTCAAACACCTCCCATATCCACACCAACTTCCATCTCTCTCGACCCTCTTACAACCCAGGAGCCATCGACGTCTTCAAGCCAGTCACCATCCAGCACATCTACTTCTACCAGACGCCACGTTCGTCCGACACCACTGTTCATGCCCAGGGAGCAGTATGAGAAGTGGTTGAAGTGGATTGAGGACCTATCTGACGACGTACTCGACGAGATATCTGGGTATATGTAGGTTGGGCTTGCCTCCAAGGGTAGCCCGGGGGGGGGGGCTCTTGTGCTGTAAAAGTGTGATTTATCTGATGCCGAGTTGGTAATTTTAAGTCTTGTACATAGATGTCATGAAATGGATGAATGAATGAATTTCCCATCAACTAAAACTGTAGTGTGCCTGGAATCAATACATCCATCCATCCATGCGAAGCAGTGAAGAAAGATAGAGATAAACGCATCCATCCGTATAATACTCACATACTACTTGGGGGAAAAACCCCCACCAAACAAACACTCAAAAATACAGCAACTAGCACAAGTAAACCCAACGAACTTGACTCACCCTCTTGCGTATTATGTATTCTCTCTGTCTACTTGATTTTCCTGGTCCTACCCATTAAAGAGCGAGTCAACAAGACCCCCATGCGAATAAATGATATCTGAATGATATCTATCTATCCTCTAGTTGGTGCTGTAATTACTTACTCCACAGCAGCTTTCTTGTCCCCTGTCTCATTTCACTTGAAAACCATCTATCATCCCAACACATGTTCCACCAAAAAAAAAGAGAAGGGGGGGGGCGGGGGCTCAAGTATCACTTTCCACTACAAGCTCGAGTTGAACGCTAAACATGTCCATTGTGCAAGGAATTGATAAAGAACTTTTTGTTTTTGGCATCGCATTAAAACCACACCTATCCCGTAACTGAATCACCAAAGTCAATAGCCGAATCATATCATATCGAATCAAAGGAAAAAAGTCCCAAATTGCACATCAGCATTCCATTCCATTCTTTCTCTCCTTCTTTCTTTTCCTTTCCACCAGCCCCCCCCTTCTCCACCATATCCACCCCTTCCCATTTCCGTCGCGGAATGACCAAGAGGAGAGCCAAAAAAAAAAATTTAAAAAAAAATTGTACAAACGAAACGCTCAGTCAGTCAGACGAACAAACAGACTCCTCCCTGCAACGTATTCCTGTCTAAATCATACAATATTCCAATTCCAATTCCACAAAAAAAGCATTCGTGATTATTTGCCTCTCGTCCTCATCCCCAAAATCGATCGATCGGACTTAATAAATCCACAGCCCTGTCTTTCCGTCTATGTACAATGACAGACGCTTCGTTCGTAGAGATTCCCTCGCGAGTGAACAGTGGAGAGTAGCTTGTTTTCATACTCAGCCGCGGGAGAACAATGAAGTTCCTAGAAGCCAGCGGAGCTAGCCACGGCCCAGAAAGAGCGAGCTACGATATTTGCCTTGCCGCCGATGTCGCCATCGTTGGGGTTT